TTTTGACTTCTTCAGCACTCGGAGCCTCCTCCTCCTCAACCTACGTACCTTGGCCTCAACAACAACCTCTCGGAACCCTCGAAGCCTTCGGCCAGCCTTCGAAGTCTAGGGGCAAAATTACTTTATTGTACTCGGCAAATCCGAGCACCAACAAAACACAACCCACATTTTTAAATTACGGAAAAAACAAAATTTAAATTTACTATAATAAATCGAGCAAATATTAATTTTATGATATCCCCCTCTCTCAAGCAATTGCAACTCTCACATCGCTTTTTTAAAAGCGAGTTTCTCTCTCGCTATGGAAGAAAGTTTTCCTCTCGTCTTTTTAAAGACGAGTTTCCTCCTCACATCGTGGTATGTGAGGTTTTTTCTCATTATTTTTCTTTTGGTATTTGGCATAAACAATCATGCGAAGGTCTTTGGGTATTTTTGATGCAACGGTTAACTACATAACGTATTCTTTGGTGCTTTGAGCAGTGGTACCCTTTCCTTCAATATTTATCATGGTTGGTGGGGTTGGTGGTGATCTACATAAATGGGGTAATGAGAATATTTTGGGATATTTGGCTATTGGTGTGGAATTCAGTTTTTTCGTTCAAGCCATTTCTAGTTTTGTTCAAGATTGTTGTTTTATTTGATAGACCCTGGTCATTCTCTAGATTAACTGTTGATCTTGGATTGCCAATGGTCTTGATGTCACATGATGCCAATGGTTCTAATCATAACACTAGCCCATTTGATAGAGATAAAAACCAATGTTGTTCGATGTCTCACTTTTGTTTCATGTATTTTCTATCTAAGGGGGTTGTTAACTTTGGAACCATTACTGGCTCTATTTCTTTTTCCGGCAAGCATGAGCAATTCGATTGTTTGTCTATTGTCAAGGTTATTGAGATTGGTGCAAGAACGGAAGATGGACAGTGGTATTCTAATGGTGTTCGGTGCGAAGATCTGACATCCGGTGAACATGGGTTGGGTTGGCAAGGTAGCATCCAAATTGTGGAGTTTGATTTTTTGGCTGATCAGTTGTTGTCGTTGCCAAACTACTATGAGCACCTTGTTTGGAATGTGGGTGGTTTAATTAATCTATGAGGGTCCTCATCCACCCAATTGATTTGGGAGCTTTCATTGACTTTGCAATCTTTGTTGGAGGTTCTGTAACCTTCCTTTCTTGGCGTTTGCTTGATTCTTTATCAACGCTTGCAGAGGTATTTAGTCTCATTTGTTGTGTCTAGTGGGTTCTTAATTATTTGTTTTCTTGTAGTTGTTAAGTCTACTAGTTGTTTCTAAGTGATGTGCATTTTGAATCGTTCAAAAAAGAAAAACTCCCATGCTTACATGTATTTTTGTACTTAGAATGCAAAATGGACATGGGACCTGCCTTCTAAATATTTTATTTTATTTTGACAAAGTATCCTGAATTATCGATTTTATTTTACTCATCTCTGTGAATTGGGTCTAAATATTTAGCAATTATAGCAATTTTGGTTGGACATCGTTTTCATAAATTTTTGTGACTATGAAACAAAGTTATTAATGAATTTATTGCAATTAGATGTAAGTAATGGAGATGCCGGATTGTTTAATTCACAAAGTCTACCAGTGCTGATACCATATACGTTGTTTAATATAATTCCTGCTTCAACCACCAGAAAGAAAAACACATTTGAAAGCAAACCAATGAGAGTTGGGCCTCTCATTGCACAACTGTAACGAACGGGAAGTGATTGTTCAATTGTTTATTGTGCAAGACAACTAAGAGCAGAATTCATAGTCTTTGGTTTTAAATTTTAATATGGGAGCAAGTGAACTTATCTGCAATGCATAGGGTTAAATATTTGATTAGGTTTGGGTTGGCAAATTTGATTTTGATATAAGAATAAAGGAATTCAGACATGTTTAAGAGAAAAGAAAGAATTTAGGCTGTGTTTGGTTTGAAGGAAAAATCAGGGAAAAGAAGGAAAAGGCAGAGAAACTTACACAAGGTTTGTAAAAGTTTTTTTTACATTTCTTTTCCTTTCCTTACCTTTTCCTTCAAACCAAACATAACCTTCATGAATAGAGAGATGTTGTAAACAATAATTATTAGAGAGAGAGAGAGAGTTGAGAATGATTTTATCGGAGTGGTGATGAATTTTATTCAAGAAGGTTAAGAGTTAAGACCTAAAAGGGTTTTATTTGACTTTTTATATTCGTAATAATCTAATTTAAAAATGAACAATGGCTTGTGTGAAGAATGAGAGGAAGAGGAAGAGGTCAATGTGAGCATTGAGGTGAGACAACTCTTGGCCTTCCTCTTTCCTCTATATCAATAATGTTTTAGAAACTAACCTAGAATACCGTTTTAGCAACTGGTTTTCAGACCAGCGGTTCGACCATCTGGTCTAAATGAATGACCTATTGCAATTTCAAAAATAAAAATAAAAATGTCCAAAATCATTTTCTAGGTTTAACAGGTCATTGAATAGTTTTTTCACAAGCCATGCTCTATATAACAAGTCAATGGTTTTTCACAAAATTCGAGTTGATTGAATAGTTTAACATGCCAAACGGTCCAACTGTCTGAATCAACGACAGTTCAAAAGCCATGCTCTATATAGATATGAATGGTCAGATTTAAGACAATAATCGATTGATGGGGTGTCACCAGCCACATGATTGAGTTACTTCAAACTGATTAATTTTCGACATTATAGGAAATATGAATTTCATGTGCATCGTTGCTATTAAAGGTACCAGAGAATAAGCCAGGCTTTTTCATTAATTAAAACACATATCAGGAATATCTTAGAACTTAGAAGTGATCTCATCATCATGTGAAAAATAATCAAAAATAGTTTTGTCACGTATATAGATTTGGTTGAAGCTGACGACTTTAACACAACACAATAATGTTCAAAGAAGACATGGATTCAAATAATAAGAAGCCATCCAAGAAGTTAGAATATGCCAGAAGATGGCACTTGATGGACTCTAATGGCAAGATAAAATTCCACATTCCAGACGCACTCTTTGTTCATCATGTTTATACTTGCTGATGCTGTATGACATGATTGTATTATGAGCACTTAATAGATTAATAAATAAATAAGGGCAAGCCCAAATAATTGGGAGTATTAATTAATGCTTGTTGAGTTAAGTGTATTTGGCCTATTACTCGGTCCATTTGGCTCAGTTTGGAAGGAGTAAAAATACATAGAGTGCAAAATTTTGTATTTTTTATTATTCTGCTTTATATATTTGTATTTATCTCCTTGTCTCAACGGTAAGATTGATTATTTGATTTAGCAAGGCCCCTTTTTATTCTTTAATTGCACAAGCAACGCCTAAGATGGATGAGATTTCAATATTCATGACCCACACCCACACAACTCGGGTACTTCAGCCAACGTTTTAAAATTGGATTGGACATTGAACCGTTTTGACCATCGGTTCTTGGGTCAAACGATCCGGTTAAAATGGACAGTTTGTTCTGTTTTAAAAAAAATTAAAAATTAAAATAAAAATAAAAAATAGTCAATTCAATGGTTTTTGGCTCAGAGTAAAATAAAACCAATTGCCTAACTGATTCTCGGCTCAACTAGTCCAATCATCCGATCCATTATGATTTTCAAAACCAGCCGGTAGAGACCTGGTTTCCCGGATCCCTAGTCTTCACTGTAGCCATTCGGCAGAGGCCTTATCAATATCGGCTGTAATTGGGTTGCATTTGGATCCGATCCAAAAACATTCAAACCTAATTTGATTACTGGAACTTCAAATCAGCATCTGAAATCTGGAAATATAAAGCTCGGGTGAGATTTGAATTAAATCTGAATTTGTTTTAGGGGTTTTTACTGTTCAGTCCACCTCAGAAAGGGGTAGGTGCCAGATCGGAATTGATGCAAATTCATGGGTATGGGTGTTATAGGTGAAACTGTTTATAATTTTGAATTGTTGTAGGTCTGTAGTTCAAATCAAAATTCTGAGGTGAAGTACAATGTAAAAATCTCTTTGTTTTTATTGTTATTGGAATAAAAAAAAATCAAAATGTTAAAAAAATTATCTATATAATTTACATAATAAAGATATATAAATATAAAACATCAAATTTATAAATTATAATTCTATATAAAATATTTATATAGATACATATACACATAGGTATAATACATTTTAATCAGACTCGGGTTTTATCCGATTCTAATTGCGTGTTCATCAATGGACAACTCTCAAGTAGGACAGCAAATAGTCTCTGATTGTGTTCAAATTTGAATCTGAATTACTCCATTTATAATTTGATATTATTCAATTCGATTTAATTTGAATATATATGTTCATATATGTTTAAAATTATATTGTATTTATTTATAAAGTTCATTTGAATGATGTATTTTTACTAATTTATTTTGTTCTTGAGATATAATATTTACTGTATTTTTAGTTTAATTTATGAATTCAATTATGATGCCAGAAAAATTTAGAACTAATCAACTGCATCATAAAAGATGTGGCCAATCAGGTGGTAGTGATGAGGAATTCACATCTGCACCTCATAGAGGGCGCCCCACGAACGCCCTACAGCATAGCATATCTCAACCATGTGAACATCTTCCACTAACAATTTCGGGAGATATTTCCGATGTATGTTGAGATGTGCATGTGCATGTGGGGAGTTTGTGAGCAGCAAATGTGATGTCATTGGTGAGAATTCATGGGATGTTTTCATTGGACAAAGTTCTTTCCATGTATTATAGATTTTTCTTTAATTTTTTATAGGAAAAATCTATGAACCCTTATTTATATTATTGAATATTCGATTGCAATTCGGATTCGATTCGGATCCTTATGAATCCGATGGAAAAGGTTCGATTTGAATTCGAATATAGGGGACGGAATCACGGGAATCAAATTATGTGCCTATGGATATATCCGATTATGTTCTTTTGAGCAGAAAACCGAAAACCTATTATCCGATTCGATTCGATCCGTTTGCAATTCCACTCTCAAGTCTCAAAGCTTCTCGCACCCATTCGAGAACCAGTAATCCATCCACAATCCATACACTACGTGAACAGTACATAGCAGTCTGCACTTTGCACGGCAGTTCACAAGTCACAACCGACCCTTCCACCATTAATGGCCTCTCCTTTATCGTTCCTATGTGCGTCTCTCTCTCCACAGTCGTTATGGATATCGCAAAAATCAACCCACCTTTGCCGCCATTGTCTTCCAGCGGTCTCAATTCCCTCGACAAGCTCTTCTATCTCTCACCAGCCATTTCGAAGGAAAAAGAATAACATCCTCTCACCTCTCATCATTACTAAGGTCCCCAACTCAAGTCGATGTGCAACGACCAGAGCCCAGTTGAACTTTCCTCTCATTTCCCCTCAAGACCAATGGGGAACATGGACAGCTCTCTTTGCCACGGGCGCCTTCGGTATCTGGTAATCTCTGTTGAAATATTCACCCGATTGTATGTCTGGGGTTCTTACTCTTCCTATTTGTTTGATTTTCTTCAATTTCTTGGGGGATTGGGATTATGGGATTGAAGGTCCGAGAAGACCAAAGTGGGGAGCACATTGAGTGCTGCCCTGGTGAGCATACTGGTTGGGCTTGCGGCTAGTAATCTCGGAATCATACCTTACGAATCTCCAGCTTATTCGATAGTGATGGAGTATCTGCTCCCCATGGCTGTTCCGTTATTGCTGTTTAGAGCGGACTTGCGTCGTGTGGTACACTCAACAGGAACATTGCTCTTGGCTTTCTTGCTTGGATCAGGTCATACTAGTTTACATTTCAATTCCCTTCTCTTTTCTACTCATTGACTTGTTCAAAGCATCACTGTGTTATCGTTTTCTTTTTTTTTTTCTTGAAATGACAAATTGGGAGTTATGTGCTTGGAAAATTGTGGTTTGGTATAACTGAAAGTTTGTACCAAATAAAATGTCTGTTTGAATTTAGCTTGATGACTTGTTGCTGCACATATTCATACACAGAGAAGATAAAAGCAAGCTGTCATTTTGTCATATGCTCCAAGTTAAACACCATAGTAGGTTGTATCTTAAAATGAATTTGGAAAACAGGGTGCTCATCATAAGGATAATGATCCGCAAAGTTCTTAATTGAGAAAACAGGGTGCTCACCATAGTAGGTTGTATCTTATATGAGCTCTTCCAGAGCAGATGATGGATGTACATATAACATTATGCAAAGATAAAATCCAGCTTGAGAATACCAAATTAAACCCTCACCATCTCAACGCCTAAGTAATTTTCTTTCTAACCAATTACACTTGTAAGGGGTTTACGGTTAACTTAACTCTAAACCATAAATAAGCAAGTGACGTAACATTCTTCATGCTATGACATCAGCCTGTGTCCTCAGGATTGGGGGTCATAAATTCGTCTTTCATTGAGCACCAGGTCTCCTATGTGGTATCCTCGGGTGGCATATGAGTCTACTGCACCAGCCACTATATTTCAGCGCAGTTGTTGCACTTCACAATCCTAGAGTTTGATGCTGCTAAAGTCTTGTGCCATCCTATCAATACAATGAGGAACTTTAAAACAGATTTATACAATTATAGTGCAAAGAACTAAATAGTAAATACAGATGATATGACATAGTGATGTTTTAAAGTTCCTTCTGTCATCCTTTGGCCATAAGGATGAGATGGATGCAAAATAAGCATGCTTAGTGGCGTAGCCAGGAATTTTTTCTAGTGGGGTCATACAATAACTTAAGCTTCATAAATGTCAAAAACTCAAAATGTATTTTATTATTATTATTATTATTAAATTCCCGATTAGTACCCTGTACTTTGGGTCTAGTGCCACTTTGGTCCCTGAACTTTCAAAACATGTCAATTTAGTACCTACCATTAACCAGCCGCTAACCAGCCGTTAAGTGGCAATTGAAAAGACAAATGCCCTTCAAGTGACATCTAATTTTCTTTATGAACCACCCAAACATTGACAAAAAATAAACAGTCCCAAATCCTTGCCTCTTCTATTCAAGAAAGTTGGGGCCACCAGAATGCCCACTGAGACGTGACCCCAACTTTCTTGAGTGGAAGAGAAAAGGATTTGGGACTGTTCATTTTTTTGTCAATGTTTAGATGGTTAATAAAGAAAATTAGATGACACTCGAAGGGCATTTTTGTCTTTTCAAATGTCACTTAACAGCTGGTTAATGGCTGGTTAAGCGGCAGGTACTGGATTGACACGTTTTGAAAGTTCGGGTACTGAATTGCTGCGTTTTAAAGTTCGGGTACTGAATTGTTGTGTTTTAAAGTTCGGGGACCGAAGTGGCATTATTATTATTATTACATTTTCAACTGCCCAAGTTGCAGCTCATTGGAGGACTCTGTGGCCGTTTGGGACACACAATGACTTCTGGCATTGTATGAGCCAAGAAACCCAGAAAATAGTGAAGCCCTGTTTGGTTAAATCCGGAAAGCTGAAAATAGGCTTATATGGGCCAAAAATCAACTTTCCGGTGAAGCTATCATAGGTAGCTTCTTGGAAGCAGCTCTGTCAATGCAGCTCAATCACCACATAAGCCCTACCAAACAGGCTCTTTATATATGTAGTCTAAAAGTCAATTAGTCTAAAGTCCAAATAAAATGCCTAAATTAACCCCACACTCATATTTTCATTTAATTCTACTGGGGTCAATATGGGAAAATGGACTGAAAAGCCTGAAATAATACATGAATTTCATGCTTCTTTTGGACTTCAATGGGGTCAATCTACCCCACTCAAATGCATGTAGTTCCACCCTTGAGCATGCTTGGACAGTCTAGGGTGCAAAATGATCATACCTGGACAGCCTAATGACTACTACAAAAACCATTCACCATAACACAAAGGTAGGCAATATATGAAAATGAAATCTGTAGAGAACACTGATGTGGGCCCCACAGCTACGGTCCCACTGTGTTCGTAGGGTAGAAGGTGTTCTAGTCTTCCTAGGGTTAGCTATTGGTCATTTAGTTGTTTCAGTTGTTATTTATTTCAGTCTTTTTTGCTCTATTTGTTATGTA